CTATAGCCCTAGCTGACCTAGAATTCACTATGTAGACCAGGGCTGATCTTCATCTCACAGAGCTCCACCTGCCTCTGCCTCCTGGGTGCTGGGATTAAAGGCATGCACCACCATACCCAGACCAATTTTTTTAAATTTATTTTTATTTTACTTGCATAGGTGTTTCACTTGCATGTATATAAGTATGCCATGTGCATGCCATGCTCGTGAAGACCAGAAGAAGGTGTCAGATCCCCTGGAACTGGAGTTCTGGGTGGTTGTTAGCTGCTATGTGGGTACTGGAACCAAGTCCTCTGCAATAGAGGGCAGTGCTCGTAACTAGAGAGCCAGTTGCTTTCCAATCCCTAGACATTACTTTTTGTTTGTGTTTTTGAGGCAAGGTTTCACTATGTAGCCTTGGCTGGCCTGGAACTCACAGAGCTCTGCCTCTCTTCTGCCTCTGCTTCTGGAGTGCTAGGATTAAAGGCATGCGTCACCATGCCAAGCTCCCTAGAGTGTTTTAAAACTGACTGTACCAAATGGGGGCACACACCTTTAATCCTAGCACTTGGGAGGCAGAGACAGGCAGATCTCTGTGAGTTCAAGGGCAGCCTGGTCTATATAGGGAGTTCCAGGCCAGTTGGGGCTATAGGGAGACCCTGTCTCAAAAAGACCACCCCCTCCAAAGAATGACTGTACTGTTTGATACTGTGGTACACATATATGAGGATTTAGGAGTCTGAAGCAGGAGGATTGCTGTGAGTTCAAGGCCAGCCTGAACTACTGAGACCCTGAAGCCCTGTCTCAAAATAATCCCTCCCCCAATGGCTAGAGTATACAGAGATTTGTTCAGATCAATTGTACTTGGTTTGGTAACATCTTTCATTGTGTATTAGTACATACCTGCAGGGAACGGCCTCACAACCGTTCAAGCACAAAATTTCCCACAAACTCTGAAGGTCTGCCTTAAGAGTAAAAGACTGATCAGCATAGTTTTTGTTTAGCAGGAAGGTATGTAGGACAGGCAGAGGGACAAAGGAAATGAAGGCCCTTGTAAGAGTGGTTGTTGTACTATGGGAAGGTTTAAGATGGAAAAAGATGAAGTTAAGCTATGATACAGCAAGTGAAGAAAGGAGAAAGGTCATCAGGTATGATGGTACAGGCTTGTGATCCTAAGTCTTACGCAAGAGAACTATAAATTTGAGGTCAGCTTGGACAAGGATATATATATAATGTCTTTCAAAAACTTGAAAAGGGGCTGGAGAGATGGCTCAGCAGTTAAGAACACTGATTGTTCTTGCAGAGGACACAGGTTCAATTCCCAGCACTCACATGTCAGCTACGAACTGTCCTTAACTCCAGTTCCAGGGGAATCCAACGCCTTCTTCTGACTTCCAAGGCATTGCATGACACGGGTGCACTCACATACATGCAAGCAATATACTCACACATAAAATAAAAATATTAAATAAAATATATTAAACTTGTAAAAGGAGAGCTTAAGTTGACATTTGTATTTTAGCTGTGGACCAGTTTCTGAATGAGGGTAGGGTTTGGGAATAGGGTTTCCAGTTGAGTAGGGGTGTATATAGGAGATGAGGTTATATTGGAGCTGTGACTCAGTTTTTTAATTCATTGTGTTTTGTGATGTTGAATAGGTACGAATAACTCAGGCAGGTGCCAATCAACAAATGTGGGAAAGTGATTGATCAGGAGGTGTGTATATGAGACAAAGAATTGCAGAAGGTGGGTTTCATTCTTTGCTGTGTGGAAATTGCTTTAATTTTCTTTAAAATTAATATATTTTAAATATAAAAGCATTCATTATCATTGCTTTTTAAACTAAGGTTAATGAGGTAAATAGAAAGGAAAAGCAATGTTTCTAGAAACTCAATATCTGGGGTCATTTTGGTATCTGATTGCAGACTTTTGCTTATCTGAACAAATACATGTGTATTTCACTTTTTGTGGGTCTACTCAGTATATCACAGTGTACCATCTAATAAATATCCTTTGTTGGAAAAGGCAGATTGCTGTTTCCACTCTTAATGGTTATAATCACCATCAGACTGTATCATATTTATTTAATAATCTATTGTCAGATTTATTTTGTCTTTTTGAGACAGGGTCTCCCTTGTAGTCTCAGCTGTCCTGGAACTCAGTATGTAGACCAGGCTGGCCTTGAACTCACAGAGATCCACCTGCCTCTGCCTCCCCACACAGTCCACAAAACAATTGTAAGACTATTTGACATTCTGTCTCTTCTTGAGTCAACTTTCATCCAAATCTGATCTTTATAAATTTAAAGTCAATGCACTGGAGAGATGACTTGGCAGTTAAGAACACTGATTGTTCTTGCAGAGGACACAGGTTCAATTCCCAGCACTCACATGTCAGCTACGAACTGTCCTTAACTCCAGTTCCAGGGGAATCCAACGCCTTCTTCTGACTTCCAAGGCATTGCATGACACGGGTGCACTCACATACATGCAAGCAATATACTCACACATAAAATAAAAATATTAAATAAAATATATTAAACTTGTAAAAGGAGAGCTTAAGTTGACATTTGTATTTTAGCTGTGGACCAGTTTCTGAATGAGGGTAGGGTTTGGGAATAGGGTTTGCAGTTGAGTAGGGGTGTATATAGGAGATGAGGTTATATTGGAGCTGTGACTCAGTTTTTTAATTCATTGTGTTTTGTGATGTTGAATAGGTACGAATAACTCAGGCAGGTGCCAATCAACAAATGTGGGAAAGTGATTGATCAGGAGGTGTGTATATGAGACAAAGAATTGCAGAAGGTGGGTTGGGTTATCTTTCCAAACGTCCAGGTCTTATTTAGGAAAAGAATGGTAGAAAGCTAAGAGAAGGCTTAGAAAGGTCTGTAAGCTTTGGAGAATATATGTTTTTCTAAGATGAGGATGGAGCCAGGAAGGCTGGAAGCTGGGAATTTGAGGAAAACTAATTTAGATGAGGAGGAAGAAGGACTTTTGTGGATCAGCATGTACATATAAGGAAGTTTGTAAAGTGAGGCAAGGTTCCACAGGGCACAGCAGAAGCAAGTGTGAGGGGATTCAGGAATGGAGAAACCATTAGCGAGGAAGCAAGGAGCTGGGGGAGAATTTGAGTAAAAAATAGGATAGCTGGCTTAGAGTGGGTGTTAGTGTGAAAAGGAGAAAATCACCTTGTTTTATAAACAGTATAATAGACTCAGTTAGTTTATTCAGCTTTACTTAGGCCCAGTTTTTTGTATTTTTATATTTTTGTGATGCTTTGAAATGAACCCAGGGCCTATGCATACTAAATATGCATTATACCTCTGAGCCCTAGAATTGAATTTTCATTGCACTGTTAGCTTCATTCTTTGCTGTGTGGAAATTGCTTTAATTTTC